TGAGCTAGTATGTGGTCTGCTTTGGAGAATGTCCTGTGTGCAGCTGAGAAGAATGTGTATTCTTGATGTGGGGTGGAACATTCTGTAGATACCTACTATGTCCATTTGTTCAAAAGTTTGGTTCAGTTCTGATATTTCTTTGTCAATTTTTTGTCTAGTCAGTCTGTCTATTTGTGATAGTAGGGTATTAAGGTCCTTTATTACAACAGTATTAGTACTTATTTGATTTTTCACATCCATTAATATTTGCTTTATATAGTTGGGTGTGCTGGCATTTGGTGCATATATATTTATGATTATTTTGTCTTCCTCTTGGATTGTTCCCTTTACAAGGATATAGTGACCTTTTTGTCTCTTAGTCTTGAGGCTGGGCATGGTGGCACATGCCTGTAATCCCAGCACTTGGGAGGCTGAGGCAGGAGGATTGTTGCAAATTCGAGACCAGCCTGGGCTACAAAGTGAGCTCAAGGCCAGCCTGAACTGCATAGTGAGGCCCTGTCTCAAAATGACAAAAAATCAGTCTTGGCTTGAAATCCACTTTGTCTGCAAAGAGAATACTACCCCTGAATTTTCCAGGTTTCTGTTTTATGGAATATTGTTTTCCAACCTTTGACCTTCCGTCTATGAATTTCTTATTGAATTAAATGTGTTTCTTACGTGTAGCATATTGTTGAATCTTGCTTTTTGTTTTTTTTTTTTGGTTGTTTTTTTGTTAGTTTTGTTTTTTGGGGGATTTTTGGAGTCTCACTGTGTAGTTCAGGCTGACCTTGAACTCAGTATGTAGCCCAGGAACTCACAGTGATCCTCCTGCCTCAGCCTTCCCAGCACTGGGATAATAGGCACGTGCCACCACACCTGGCTCAGGTCTTGCTTCTTGATTCTGCCATTGGCCAGTGATTTTGCCTAGCTTTAGGGGACAAGCTTTTTGGGGCAAGAAGGAAAAAAACAGCTAATGTAAAAAAGGTGTGGCAGCCAAAGAAGATGGAGGCTGAGACCACATAGGTGATTAAAACTGTTCTAGAAGAGTTTCAGAGCTAAGAGGCCCAAACCATATTACATGTGGTTTAGAAATGAGAGGGTGGTGAAATCCAAGTCCATATCAGAGAGAGCTCTTACACTGACTTTTTTGGCCACTTAACATAAAGTACCTTGTTCTGGCTGTTTGCCTATCTCCTGACTGGGATTGACAGCTCTTGAGGGTCCTGAGGACATGCCCAGCCTCTGGCAGTGTCTCAGCCCGTGGAGATCTGAGACCCGGATCTGCAGTGGCTCACCCATGCAGCAGCTGTGTGCCGTGGTAGGCCTGGTCATCTGTTTCCTCATCTGTACAATGGTGAAAACATCTAACTCCCCTTCGCTGAGTGTGGGAAGGAGCAAATTGGATAATATATACAAATGGGCTTTGTAAACTGAAAATTAATAGTCTATGGAAGAAGATATTGATAATGTTTAGTAAATGATAATAGCTATTGTACTTGGGAAAATATGTAATCAGTTTTTTGTTTGTTTTAGATTTGTTCCTTATATTGGAATTGTGACGATCCTCATGAATGACTACCCTAAATTTAAGGTGAGAGCTTGTACTGTGTGTCTCATTAAAGATGTGATCTTGGGCTGGCACTATAGCTCAGCGGTGTAAGCACCTTCTTGGCAAGCGCAAGGTCGTGAGTTCAATTCCTAGTGCCAAAAAAAGAGATGTGGTCTTAGGCAAGGGCATATCCCAGTAGTAGAGCATGTGCCTAACAGGCAAGAAGCCCTCGGATCAGTCCCCCTGGAGGAGTAAACTTTTGCTTTGTTTTGAAAAGTGTTAATTATAGTTAAAATACAAAAGAATAATTGGATAGTTTAGTAACTAATCATGCTCACAGAAGCCAGTTTATGAATTAACTGTGAGGATTTACACATAAAAGCCTCTCTTGGGGCTGTGGGTATATAGCACTTAGCCTAGCATGTGTAAGCCCCTGGGTTTGATTTCCCCGGCACCAAAAAAAAAAAACAACACAAAATTCCAGGCATGGTGGCACATCCTGTAATCACAGCTACTCAGAAGAGTGAGACGGAAGGACTGCAAATTCAAAGCCAACTTGGGAAATTTAGTGAGATCCTGTTACTTTATTTATTTATTTATTTATTTAGTCTTTTTGAGACAAGTTTTACTGTGCAGTTCAGGCTGGCCTCAAACTCAGCAATCCTCCAGCCTCAGCCTCCCAAGTGCTAGGATTACAGGCATGGGCCACCACACCTGGCTAGATCCTGTTACTTTAAATTTAAAAAAGAAAAAGCTAGGTGTAGGTAGGGTATGTGCCTATAATCCCAGCAATTCGGAGGCTCAGACAGGAGGATCACCACAAGTTTGAGGTCAGCCTGAACTACATAATGAGACCCTGTCTCAAAACAAAACAAAAAACTACAGTGGTACCTTGATTCACAAACATTTTTGTTTACGCACAATTTGTTTCACAAACAGAAGAGTTTGGCAAAGTTTTTGTTTGTGAACCGCATCAGGTGACAAACACGATCATGCCATCTTTCCTGCACAAACACAAATATGGCCATGTTTTCCAAAATCATAAAACAAATTTAAGTTTGTGAACTAAGGGACCACTGTACCAAAAAATACAGTAATAGTTAACAAATAATAAAAAGCGCTGGGTATGTCGCTCCCTGAGTTTAGTCCTCAGAAAACAAAAGCAAGGGGAGGGGAGGAGGGAGGAGAAAAGAAAAGAAAAAGCTTCTCTGACTTGCTGCTCCGTGTTTCTTTTCTAGTATGCAGTCCTTTTCTTGCTGGGTTTGTTCGTGCTGGTCCATCGTGAGTAAGAAGCTGCCTTGCTGTTCCTGGGAGATGCTGTGCTTTTGTTACTGAGTGCTCGGAATGGATACTGGTCTGTGATTGGTGGAGTGGAGGACACACACGTTGGCGCTTCTTGGTGGCACTGGTTGGCGTTAGTTATGTTTCCACGCCAGAATCTGTGGGCGGGCGCATGTGCACTGCGCAGTGCACTGGAGGGAACTTTCAACCACAGGATTTCATATGTTGTCATTGTCAACACTTCACGTTTTTGTACATCAGTGACTTTTTTATATTAAAAGGTTGAGCCAAAGCCCCCAGTGTTTGTATTTTGAAGCCAAGCTTCACTTCTAAAGTGCCTACAGAGTCCTGAAAATGCAGCTGTGCATGAGCTCGGATGCGCCTTTCCTCCTTATGGGAACGGCGTAGATGAGGTAGTCGTTAAATCTTAACTTTTCAGAATTTTAAATAAAAGACTTTGCACATTGGACCCCTATCCCTGAATTGTGTTTTTCGGGAAAGCTCCTGAAATTTGCCTTCCTTTCCTGGTTCTTAGTACCCTTGAGGGGGAGGGAGACTCGAAGACTTCTGTGGGAACAGTGCTGCAGCTCAGGTGGTTGCCTGATGCGAACATCTTGTCTGTTTTGTTTTTGTGAAGTCAATGTAGCGATTGACATGGATATGAAATCTCTTAGTCATAAAGTTGATTCTTCACAGGAACATGACTCATCTGTAGAATCCCAGCTAGCGTTGCAGAGGGGTTCGGAAAATCTCACTCGCCTGTAAAACCTCACAGCCCTTCCCACACTCAACATTCCCGCCCTCCTGCCTGGCCTGTGCGAGCGTCTGCAGCTGGCGGGTGGAGGTGCTAGAGGCCGGGCTTTCTGTTCGTGTCTTCTTTTGCCTGAATCTGGCTTGCTTTGCCCCAGTGAGGACCCAAAGAAGGCAGAGAGGAGTAGTGACTGCAAAGCCCACTGTGTGTTTTCTTTTACTATTGCAGCCCTCAGGGGAAAATGGATGGGGAAGCTGATGTGGTTTCTGCCCTCAAATACTAATTCTGGCCTTCCCCTTGTGTTAACGTGAAAGCTCAGAATAAGCAAGTTTTATGTGCTGGGTTTCCTGCTCAAGTGTTATTTGTTCAGCGCAGGTGGAAGTGACTCCTAGCTGGGGTGCTGAAGAAATGAGAACAGAGCCCCCTGATCCACTTCTGTGGAGAACAGCACATCCTCAGCCAGTAGCCAGGCTAGCCTCCAAACTCTGGGCATAGGTGTGTAATGGTCTCAGCGGCGTGAGACCCAGCAAAGCACTGCACAGGTGCCTTCCCAAACACCTGAGGCTTGTGTAGTGCTTGCATTTTCTCACGAGCCAGGAGCCCTCCAGCAGCTCCGTGTGGAGTGGCAGGGTGTTGGCTGCTTCCTTCTGTTCTAGTCACCTGTGAAGGCCAGATCAGCTGCACTGGGGGAGATGGCGAGTGCTTTGCTTGTCAGAGTCGGGTTCCGAGCCTGTGACCCCAGCTTGCTTGCGTGTAAACATCCTTATGTCTCCATCTGTGCTTATTCTCCGCAGAGCTCAACTAGAAAGAGAACAGTACTTTAGGGTATAGTTTCACACTCAGCTGGGTGAAAGTATCATTTTTCCTCTTTTGCTCAGCAACCTGAGAGTTAAGCCCAGGTAGTACACACGTAAACACACATGAAAAGAAGAAAAATCACAACAGTCTGGTGTGCTGGTTCAGGCCTATAATCCCAGCACTCAGGAGGCTGAGGCAGGAGGATCAGTGTACAGTAAAACCCTGTCTCAAAAAATGAAGACAAAAAAGAGAAAGAAACGATTCTTCCATTGCTATCCAGCACGACGGTCTGTCCTGTTACAGTGGTATAACAGGGTGAGCGAGGGCTCCAGGCCCCCTCCAGCACTAGAGCCCCTTTTACAGGTACTGTGCTCGCATCCCCAGTTGCGTGAGGCAGCATGTGTTCAATGTCAGTATAATCGTGCATTAGAACTAGACGCGGTGACTTGAGTGAGCATTGTTGAGCTATTATTCTGGAGCAGAGCATAGGAATCATTAGAGTAATTTGTACTTCCTGTCAGTAGTAAGTACATTCTCTAGGTCTTGCCAAAATGAATCTGAAGACTTCACCTCTCAAAGGTTCCATCATGGCAGCATGTACCTTTGCAGACTTTTTAAAAATATTAACCCTGGGTTTTTGTCTATGTCTTAGCTCCTTCCTGTGTTTCTTATAGGTGAGCAAACCTTTCCCCTATAATGCAGGCTTTGCTTTTCCTAGGATCTAGCTGTTAATATTGACTACTTAGAATGTGCCGGGTGCTCTGCTAAGTGCTGTGTTTCTTAATGAAAAAAGTATGGGCATTTGTATCTTTTCTGAGGGAGTCATGGATTTCTCAGAGTGCCTGGGCTTTGTTGAGCGCTTCTGTGCTTTTATTTTGGTATTTTCATAAGTACTTTGCATATTTTGGGGTATCTGCAAATGTATTTTAACAAAGCCACCAGCCTGTCAGGAGCAGAGGGGTCACTGGGCGAGGGTGGACAGCCGCCTCCTGCAGTGTTCCTTTGCTGAACTGCTGCCTGGCTGCCTCCCTTGACCGCCACCCCCGCTTGCTACAGCTGCAAAGCTAAGCTGTCAAGCAACAAATAGGGTGCGGGCCCTGAAATGTGCAGGGCATGCTCCCTCAACCCCACTCCCCCACCCCCTCGTCCTCACTCTGCTCTGGAGCTCACTGCCTACGCTCTCGCAGACATTTGTCCAGCATCCACTGTGCCCCACTTTCAGCTAGGCCCTGGGGATACCAAGGTGCCTAAGCCCCTTGTGGCTCTGACAGAAACTGTGTGCTTATTTGTTTGTGACCAGGTCTCACTGTGTAGCCCAGACTAGCCTCAGACATTGCTGAGTTCTGGGATTAGGGGCATGCTCCACCACAACAGGCCAAGAACTTTTTACTTAAAGGGGGCAACAGATGTAAACAAATTTTCCCACATGGGATCATAAGTATAAGAAGAGAGAAATAAAAATGCAAACGAAGCTCCAGAAAGAGGTTTCTTTTTTTTTTTTTTTTTTTTTTTTTTGAGGCCATATCTCACTGTGCAGTCCAGGATGGCTTTAAACCTGTGGCTATTCTCCTGCCTCAGCTGAATGTTGGGATTACAAGCATATGCCACTACACTCAGCCATCTCTTTTTCTTTGTTTTTCTTCCTCCTCTCCTCCCGTGCTCTCTTTCCTGCCAGTACTGGGAATTAAACCCAGGGCATCGCTCTCTTATGCTAGGCCAGCACTTCTTGATTAAGCTTTCAAGTGTGTACAGTGCTTCCTGCTTGGGAGTGCCCTGTACATTTTTACACTCCTTCAGCATTGCCCTGTGTAGCGCAGAGCAAAGCCCAGCTCCTTACTGGCATTGGGACAAGCCTACCCTCAGAGCCATTTTGGTAGAGCCTCTAGTCCTTGTCACAGTGCTTTGCTTGTTTTAGATTTATTTTTACACTGCCTTTTTCCATAAAGATATATTTAGTTCTGGGATAAAATGTTTTTTTTTTTTTTGTTTTGGGGGTGTGGGTGATTTTTTGGGGGGTCTTGAGACCAGGTCTCACTATGTAGTTCTGGCTGACGTTGAACTATATACCTCAAGCAGTCGTCCTGCCTCAGCCTCCTGAGTGCTGGGATTACAGGTGTGCACCACTATGCCTGGCTAAAATATGAAATAACTGATGGATTGAAGGTTAGAACAAGCGTGGGAAAGGAAAAAGATGACGTCAGAGGTGAGATTGGCCCTGTAGCTTCTGCTGGCTGCTGGAAATCAGCATTAGCTGTCATCTCCTTGGCAGTGAACGCAGTGATGGAAAGATGGAATGAACAGAAAACGGAATAAAAGGAAATCGTGTGGTAGGATCAAGAAAATTGAAGACTACACTGTGGGGTTGTGCAGTAACCCTGTACCAATTAGCCTAATGATTTTCATGGAGCTATTTCATGCAGAAAAGCTACTGATCTAATCAGCTAGGAACCTTCAGCTTTCCTGTAGAAGAGTGTTCAATAATTTTTTAAAAACTCACGGCCTGTTAGGAAAAGAAAAATCTCATTTCTCTTTTTTATTTTGATAAACACCTATCCTCCAGTCTCTTCGCCTCACTAGCCAAGAATATGTTAGCTTGTGTTTTAAGTTTCTGTTATAAAAACAATAGTTTTATTGAATATGACTTTCAAACTGCTTTACTTTCCTCACTGGCTGTAACAAAATACCCAACATCTACAACTTAAGAGAGGAGAGGTTTATTTTGGGTCACATTTCAGTCTACTGTATACTGGGTCCAAGGCAGGGCAGCAAGGCAGAGCGGCCTGGCAGAAGAATAGCTGCTTACCTCATGGCAGTTGGGGAGCCGAGAAAGTCCAGGAAGAAGTCAGGAAGGAGCCCACCCTCCCGGGTCAGCCACAGGGACCCGCCTGTTCCAGCCAGAGAGCACAGTGAGTCAGGTGACCCTGTGATCCGTCACCCTGCAGACACATCAGGCTTTGAGGGCTGTTTTAGATTGAAGCCAGAAAAATCTACCCTTGTTCTACCAATCTTAGGAGTTTCGGAATGCTATCTACTCTCAATTGAGAATCTTTTCTCTAAAACAGTTATTTTAATTGGCCCATCCAGTTAGACTGGCAAGCTGGAGTCTAGCTTTCATTAAGAGAGTCAAGTTAGAAGAATTTGTGCTTTGCTCTTAATGTCAGGTAAGTTAGTCAGCTTGTATCACGCTTTGATGAGAGCTCTTAGCCTGCCAACTTACTTAAACCAAAAGTGAGAGAATGCTGTAGAATTCCTGGAGTTGGTTAAGAGTTGAAGATATAAAAAAGTTGAAGATGTGCTGGCATTTTGGTTTATCAAACAATTTAAGACATAAGACCCAGAAGGCTGATGCAGGAGGATCATTGTAAATTCGAGACCAGCCTAGGCTACAAAATGAGTTCAAGCCCAGCCTGAACTGCATAGCAAGACCCTGCCTCAAACACACACACACACACACACACACAAGACATACCTGTTGGCAGGGCAGGGTCCTGTTGTCGACACTGTGGTCTTCATACTTAGGGAGGTGAGCAAACCTTTCCCCTATAATGCAGGCTTTGCTTTTCCCAGGATCTAGCTGTTAATATTGACTACTTAGAATGTGCCGGGTGCTCTGCTAAGTGCTGTATAACAAACGTTTACTTTCTCTCATTCAATCAAAGTAAACCCTACTCTACAAAAGAAACCAGAGGAGGTTCAAGGATTTCCACAAGGGCTTCCGGTCTGTGCACTGCAGTGCCGGGCCTGAGGGCTGCTGGTTTGACTGTGTCTCCACACTGGCCGTTCTAGCCCAGTCCTGTCTTTGTAAAAGTTTAGAGACAACCTTAATGACCCCAGTTGTAAAGTCTGGGGGGAATTCTTTGGAATCTATAAATAGTGATGCTCATTCACAGTTCAGTGTGGTTTTCTAAAAGTGCCCACACATATGGCCCTCTGACCCTTCACAGGGTTTCAATGGCATAAAGACTCGATACGTTCACATTATAGACGTGGTCGCCCAAACAAAAAGCAAGTTAGCTGCAGAGATTGAACAAATGCAGATTTCCAAGCATGTAAAATTCTTTGGAGTTGAAGGAGTATTTATTTTATGGAAATGTTGTCTTAAATACATGAATATTACATGCAGTGATCTTGAGCACTGCTTGAGGTTTCTCTGTCTCTTAGGTTTTTCTTACCGGCCCTGCACACTTACTCCGCATAGCTGAGCAGCAGCTGAGCAGCTTCTTAGCCACCGTGGGAGTGGTCACTCCTTTTTACGAGATGTAGGGCTTTTTTAAAAGATTGTCTTTAAAAAAACAAAACCATTCTGTATCCTGGCACATTCCATTTCTGAAAGATTTTCCTTCTTAATGGTTAATGTACTGATGTTAAAATTACAGTGAATGTTTAAATTTTTAAAAAATTTATCACAGTAAAAGACAGCGCCATGAACTCCCACCCTCAGAACCCGCCTCATTTTGAACACACTTACCCATCCTTCTTGCCACTTTCTGAAGCAGTTCCGCAAGTCCTCTTTCGTGTCTTCAATTGTGCTATTGTGGCTTGGCTCCCTGATTCAAAACATTTACCTACCTTGGTCATTTTGATTTCAGGAGAGACCCAGAAGTCTTGTGCCAGATCCAGTGTATAAGGTGGATGAGGACTCACTGTATTATTTTTATTGGGCAGAAATTGCTATACACATTTTTTATCAGTTGAGAATGGAGAGGCAGCCAGGAAAAGCCACTCAGGAAAGGACTTCCAGAGCTGCTTCAGAAAGTAGCAAGAACAATGGGATGAGTGTGTTCTGAGGGAGGGTATTTTGAGGGGGTCCATATAATGGGCTTTTAGTATAATAACTATTTAAACATTGACTGTATATTCTAATCGTGCCTCATAGCTCTGGTCTCCATGCCTTCCCTCTTACTTGGGAAATCCTCTCAGATGCCCCTGATTCTCCGTTCTGTAGCCAGGATTCTGATCAGGTGCAGGGCTGTGTGCAGAGGGCCATGGGGCAGAGCTCCCACCAGCCTGCAGTGCGCCCCTGCCGGCTTGCTGCCGTCCCTTCACACTCGGCTCATTGCTGTCGAAATCTCCACTTTTCCCCGTTCCTTGTGTTAAAGGTCCACACTCCAGTTTTCTGCATTTGTTCAGTCTGCGGCTAAATAGTTTTCTGTTTGGGTGACCACGTCTGTAACGTGAGCATAACTAGTCTATGCCATCGAAGCCCTGTGCAGGGTCCTAAGTGTGGGCGCTTTGGGAAAACCACACTGAGCTGTGGAAGGGCATCGTTAATCTCAGTTTAATGGAGATGTCACCAAAATATGAACTTAAGTCCTTCATTTCAAGCCATTCTTTTTATTAAAATGTCGGGGTAGTTTAAATGTTGGCAGCAGCGGCATTTGCCGTGCCTTTCATCCCAGTCACCCTCTGCACTGTCCTGTGAACCTTATCTTCCCTGGGTGCCCTTGAGTGATGTCCAACCCCAAGAGGGTCCTGCCTGAGCTCCAAGAGCTTCTCTGTATGTCTCACGGGTAGAGGCCTTTGGGCTGACATTGCCATCAGAGTGGGTGACACGGGGTAGGCAGCGGTGAACAGCTCAGTCCCCTCGGGGAACCAGCCTAGCCCCCCAGGAGGCGCCTCCCTCTCGCCGCACCGCCCCTGTCGTCCCCCTGCCCAGACCTGCGCAGTGCAGTGCTGCCCTGTCCGCAGTTTACAGCTGGCGGGGCAGCTCTGCCCCCTGCTTTCTCCAGGGCCTGGGTTGACAGACCAAAGATCCCAAGGGCTTGTGGAGCCAGTCTTGGAGCTGAGAGCCGGGCTGTGTAAGAGAAACAGCAGGACTCAGGGCCACAGGTTCACCTGCGGACAGAAGTGAAACAAGATGCGGCGCCGCCGGCCTCTCCTCCCTGGGTGTTGGAGCGAGTGGGTGTGGCTCAGAGCTCCGCGTATGCCGTGCCAGCTGTAGGGGGCCTGGCACTGAGATGCCACCAAGGGACTCAACCTCTCTTGAGTTTGTCTCCAAAAAATAAGGGCAGGGGTGCATGAAGTGAAGCAGCACTCGCGGCGGACCAGGTCCCACTAATGTCTGCACCAGGACCGGAGGGCAGCGGGGGGAGCGGACGGGTGCGGAGGAGGGAGGGCGCGCAGGGGGACGGTTCTCCTGGGAAGGTGAGGAGAGCTAAATCTGTACACCATAGCGAAACTGTGACAGGAAGCAGAGAGGTGCAAATGCCAGGGCGGGGGAAGGGAAGCAGGGAGACTGGGGGGGGGGGAGCCAGGGCCACAAATGGAGCATCCCTGTCCTGTGTCCCTCCCCGGCACCACACCACGGGGATGCCTTCCTGCCAGGACGGAGGAGGAGCAGGCGCCCTGTGGCGCGGGCCTCACCCACTGTGTCCGCTCTCCACGCAGCGTGTCCAGGAGGAGGCGACTCCTGGAGCGGGGCCTCAGTCTCCCCTGCGAGCCTCCCGCCACATGCTGGGTGCTGTGTTCAGTAAGTGTCAGCACGATGTCTCCCTCGGCTCTGCTCATGAAGCAATTGCTGCCCCTGACCCAAAGCCAGACCCCTGAGGACTGAGTGCTGGGTGTAAGGCGCCAGGCCGTGCGAGGCTGCTGCCACCCGCCAGCAAACAATTGTACTAAAAGTGCAAAGTTAAAAAGAAGACTGTGATAGTTTCCATTTTACACTTGGGGCTAGGGAGGTCCTGCGAGTCCAAGGCGTGTAGGAGGATCTGTGGCCCAGCGCCCTTTCTCTCCGGGCCGCCGGGCCCCACCCTGCGCGGGCTGCCACGCCCCGGGCGACTCCTGTGCCCCCGACCCCCCCACCCGCAGAACGGCTCCCGGCCCGGCTGTCCTGTGAACAGCGGCTCAGGCGCTGCGAGGAGAAACTGGGGCTGCAGTTCAGCAGTTCCTCGGCTCCCTGGCACTTGACAGGTCACTGTTAGCAAGGCGCATCGCACACCAATAATCCCAGCACCCGGAGGCTGGGGCAGGAGGATCGCGAATTCGAGCCCAATCTGGGCAGTTTAGCAAGACACTGTCTCAAAAAAAGGGCTGAGGATGAAGCCTGGACTACATACACTTTTAAACCCGTCTCAAAAAACAACCAAACGAGGAAAGCCTGTGCTGCGGGGGAGAAGCTCTCGCCATCGGGCATCAGGTACTTTAGCAGGAGCGAGGTGACCGCTTGCTGGCTGGGAGCCCCTTTGCCAGGTCCGTGCCGCACGCCCGCCCCTAGACCGTGGGGCAGCCCGAGCCCACCGCGCAGCCAACGACTGGCTCGGGCGAGAGTGCGGGCGGTGCCGGGGGCGGGGCGGCTCGTGGCTCCGCCCCTGGGCGCGGGTTTAAAAAGAGGCGAAGCGGTGCCAAGAGCCGCCGCGGGAGCCACCGAGGCCCGGTGCACGCCATGGCCCGCCTGACGGGGGGCACGCGGCTGCTGGGCGGCTTCCTGCTCTGGGCGCTGCTGGCTGCCAGCGTCGCCCCGCTCACCTGGGACCTCCCGGAGCCCCGCAGCCGCGCGGGCAAGATCCGCGTGCACCCTCGAGGCAATCTCTGGGCCACCGGTAAGTCTAAGGGGACCCCGGCGAGCGCCCAGCGCTTTCCCAGCCCTCCTGCCGCTCCTATTGCCCGAGCAGGTGGGGACGCAGCGGCTTATCCGATGTAACACACGGGGTCTCCAGCCCAGACCGAGCAGTGATTGTGCCAGGAGCACTCAGCATGCGGAAGGCAGAGCTGGGGCTGCATGTGGACGGTGCCCCTGCCCCCGCCGAGGGACTGTGCTCTGCACCCACTGCCCAGGCACCTTCCCTGCCCTTTTCTGAACCCCCCACCGGGCAGGCAGCGCAACTGGCAGAGTTCCTGCGCCCCAGCCTCTCCTGGTGCCACTGTCCCTCCATTTGCTCAGGAGAGCTGGGGCCGCAGGTTTGCCACCTCCGACCCCCGTGTCTTATGGCTCAGGGGTGAGGACGGAGGCTTCCTGTCTTCCTACCAGGAAAGCGGAAAATTTGGAGATGGGCAACTTCCCCACTGGGGTAGGGTTCCCACTCTGAATTCCATGTGCCATGACACCTCCTTTCTAGGTCACTTCATGGGCAAGAAGAGCCTGAAGCCCCTCAGCCCAACCCCGTTGGGGACAGCGCCCCACACCTCCCAGAGGGACCAGCAGCTGCAGCTGAGTCATGATCTGCTCAGGAGCCTTCTGCTGAGGAGAGCCCTGGGCCTGAGCCTCAGCAGCCCGGTACCCCACGCGCAGGTGAGCCAGGTCACCCTGCACCCAGGAGGGGGCCAGCCCCAGGGAAGCACCACAGCTTTGGAAGTGGGGTGCCGGGTGCAAGTGCAGGCTATAGAATCGGTGTGGATGCCAGGGCACCAGGAGAGAGCCCCGAAGAGAGGAAGCCCACCACCTAGCAGAGCCTTGAGAGATATAGGGCGGAAGTGCCAACACGCAGCGGATTATCCAGCCCCAGCTGCCCCTCTGTTGTGTCCCGGGTGTGCCTGTGGCCAGGGCTGGGACCCTGAGACCTAGAGAGGGGACAAGAAGTCAGTTAGCACCAGTACAGCTCAGACCTTGCTCCCACACCAGGGCTGTCTGTCCTCTTGTCTGCCCCAGGAACTGTCAGTGGAGGGTTTAGTGCTCTCCACATCCTCAGCTCTTTGTTGTGGGGCTGCCCTGTGAGCTGTAGGACGTTGCAAGCACCCCCCTCTGTACTCATCAGATACCAGTGGCACCTCCCCTTTCATCCCCAAGTCATGACAAAGTTGCCTGCAAGCCAGGTCTGGAGATGTATGCCTATCATCCCAGCCACTCAGGGGGCTGAGGCAGGAGGATTGTTTGAGCACAAGGCCAGCCTGGGCAACTTAGTGTGATCCTGTCTCTCAAATCAAAAGCAGCAAAAATGCCTCCAGACATCACCAGATGTCCCCTGGGGGAAAGGGTCCCAAATCACCTTCAGTTACAAGCCACTACCCTGTGGGTTCAAGGACATAAAGCTGGAGCCAAGCCAGCCTCAGTGTCTAGCAGGACTGAATGGCAGCTCCTCCATTCCCCTAGCAGGGCTGAATGGCAGCTCCTCCATTCCCCGCTCCAGCCCCATCCCCTGCACCCCTCCCTCCATGGTACTTGTTGCTGTGTGCAGAAAACAATGTGATGAAGTAGGCGGTGGGCTCTGGCAACAACATGCTGTATAACCTAGAGACTCCGTACCTGTGTGCCTTCAAAATGTCACAACACCAGTACTCTGGGAGGCTGCGACAGGAGGATCTCAAGTTTGCACTCAGCCTGGTAACTTAGTTTCTAACAAATCCATCTCAAAAGTAAAAACTAAAAGGGGTGGGTATGTAGCTCAGTGCAAAGGACCTGGGTTCCATCCCCAGTACCACAAAAAAAAGGAGAGAAAGGTCATTTACTAGCCAGGCATGGTGGTACATGCCCATTATGCCAGCATTTGAGAGGCTCAGACTGGAGGATTTGAGCCCAGCTGGGTCACATAGTGAGACCCTGCCTCCAAAGGAGGGGGAAAATGTCACTTACCACTAAGCCTCAGCTTCCTCGTCCGTAAAATGGCAACAATTACACGCCCCTCTCCCATTACATGAGCCCAGCTTGCGCTGGGCCGAAGGAGCCTTCGGGTTGCAGGAGCCGCACAGCCGGAGTCCTGGCTGTACCTGCGGCCTGTCCGCCTCTGTATCCCGAGCCACAGAGTGTGCACTGTTGAAGGGAGCGGCCTTCCCCAGAGAGGGCCAAGCCCGCGCTGCAGGACACAAGGCCCTCAGCCGTCAGGCCGGGGGCCAAGCTCGTCAGACAGGGTCACCTCTAGGGTCACTGACTTGAAGACCAGCTGGAGAATCTTAGCGGAGCCACACCCGGCTGTGGGGTGGGGCAGAGCTTGGCGAGGGGCGCTAGGACTTGACTTCCGTGCATTTGATTGTGGGGACCACCCTGCGACACTGGGGCCGTATTCAGGGGAAACCGCCACCCCTGACTCTTCCGCGCCTTGCTGGAGGAGGGTTCGAGGGAGCCTGCCACTCCCGGGACCAGGGCTGGGCCGGGCAGCGGCCGCTCCCCAGCTCACCGGCCCTGTTTTCCTGCAGTGCAGAAGGCCGCTGGTGCACCTGCCGCAGAAGTGACGCCGGGAACGGGCGGGCGCCACCCGCTCGGACTGCGCCCACCTCGCCCTCCTCGGGAGGTGGCTGAATGCGTCCCGGGGGCGGCCCCGTCCGGATGGAAAGCCCGGGCTCCGCCACTCTGATTTCTGGCCGGGTCGCCAGGAACAGCGTGGACGCAGACGCCAAGTACCCTCCCGCTGCACTTCTTGCTTCCCTGGTGAAGGTGTGAATAAAGCCCTGCTCTTTACCGCACGTCTGGTCCTCTCCTTCCAGCCCCGGTTGGGGGCGGGCAGGGAACAGGCTGGCGGGGCGGGGGCGACTCAGCGACACGGGGCAGCCGGGCCTGGCGCCCGCCGGCTCTGAGCGACTCCGGGGGCGGCCACCGGCGAGCAGGCCCCCCGCGCCGCCGGCCCAGACCAGGGGCCCGCGCTTCCCGGGCTGCCCGGCTTCGCTAAGCTCAGTTCACCCCCACGCCAAGGTGGTCTTTTTTTGTTTTTCTGTGGTACTAGAGTTTGACTCAGGGACTCACGCATGCTGGGCAAGCACTCTGCTACTGAGCTATATGCCGGTCCTTTCTGAAAATTTTACTTGAGACGAGGTCTCGCTAACTTGCCCAGCCTGGCTTCGAACTTGCGACCCTCCTGCCTCAACCTCGCGGCGCGTCCAGCGGGTGGGGCTGCGTCGGACCCAGACTCCACTGTCTGCTTACTGTCTTCTCTGGACTTCAGTAGAGCTGCCAGAGTAAACAAATAAAAAGCAAAGACCATCCAGCGAAATTCGGATTTCAGGTAAACTACTTTTCTGTTTAAATGTCCTAAGACTATTTTACAGTTTATGTGAAATTTCAGTTTAACCACGTGGTCTCATATTAGCTTTGGCTTAGGGACACTGACCGCCCTTTCTTGGGCTGCAAATACCTGGTCCTAAAACCGGTGGGAATTTGGACCTTCCGACCTTGCTTGGGATCCCCTCCGCCGATCCTGGAGTGCACCTTTCTTTCTCGAAAACTTTCCCCCAAGAACCCGGGATGAGCGCCCAACGCGAGGCCGCTCCTCCCCTCGCGAGATCTCCGCGCCCGCCGCACAGGCTCGCGGCCGGAAGTTGGGCACCGGAAGTGACAGTTGCCATGGAGTCCGCGGAGGACTGGCTGGTGGAATCCTTGCGCTTGTAAATCTTGCGGGGCTGGGCGCGGGGACCCGGGTCTGTCCGGCAGGGCGGGTGGAGCGGGCGGAGGTAGGGAGGGATCCCTGGCCGGGGACCAGGCCGACGCTGAGGACTCCAGGACTTGGCCCAGCCTTCTTTGAAAGGACTGGATCGTGCGTGCGCAAGCTTGATAAGCGGGGGCCTGTGAAGGATTCACTTCCCAGTGTATTACAAAAATTTGCGGGGTGTGGTGGCTCCCGTCTGTAACCCCAGCACTCTGGGAGGCTGAAGCAGAAGGATCGCAGCCTGAGCGACTTAGTGGGACTGAAAGTAGTACCAAAAGGGCTGCGGGTATAGTTCAGTGCGAGGACCTGGGTTCCATCCCTAGTACCGCCAAAATTTTAAAAAAAGGAAGAAGAGAGAACTTGTGGAGGATACTAATAACTCAAGTGCCTAATTAGTTTGTGCCTCACTCTAAGTTAAACTCAACACAGATTGTCACTCATTAATTCCCCACACTAGCTTGGGGCAATCTTGGTGGGAGGGGGAGGGACTTCCGTAGATGAGAACCGAGGCTCAGGGCTCCTGACTGGCCTGGTCCCAGACACACAGAGAAGGGTAAAATGCGACGCAAGACTCGGCCCCATATCTGCCTGAGTCTGGGCGTGGACCCTAACCACGGAGCCCAGCTCCTATCTCCTGGTTATGAGCCGTGTGTAATTATGCCCTGTCATTCAGGTACCAGGATTTCCATGCATTTGACCTCTCAGCAGCCACCCGAGGCCTTGAATGGATTGGTGACAAAGGTAATGTGCCCTGCCTGGCCCTAAGGGAGATGGAATCCCATTCTCAAGAGGGGTCTTGGGCTCAGTCTAGAGGGACCCCTCCCACTCTTTTGAGGATGTCTTGGTCACTTGTTACAACCTGGTCCCCCAACAGCACCTTTGTTAAGATCCTCCATGTCTGGCATGGTGATGCAGGCCTGTAATCCCAGCAGTCCGGGAAGCTGAGGCAGGAGAATTGCAGATTTGAGCCCAGCCTGGACAGCTAAGCAAGACCAGGCCTCAATATAAAAAATAACAAAAAGGTTGGGGACATAGCAAAGTGTAAAAACTGGATCTCCAGTACTGCAAAGAAGAAAAATCCATCCAGGCTGCACATTAGTAGGGAAGGAGTTTAGCATTGCTCTGGGGACAGGCAGCAGTTTAGAGATTAAACTACAATCTTTCTAACATGGTTGCTTTTTTTTTTTCTAGGAGTCTTTGTTGCTGGGTATGAAAGCCTGAAAAAAAACGAAATTCTTCATCTAATACTACCTCCTAGACTTTCTGTAAAGGAAAATCAGGTAACCTGAAGTAAAAGTGCTGAGCAGATATGTTGATTTTTACTTATTTAGTAAATATTTCTGGAGCTCCTATCACCTACCAGGTATTGTCCTAGATACGAGAATGGGAGACAAGGGCTGGGCCTCCACTGTAGTCTTAACAGCTGAGGGGCCTGTGCGCAGAGCTCAGTGCCAGGGCTCTTTTATTTATTTTATTTTATTTTATTTTTTGTCTTTTTGAGACAAGGTCTCGCTATGCAGTTCAGGCTGGCCTTGAGCTCATTTTGTAGCTCAGGCTGGTCTCGAACTCGCAACGAACCTCCTGCCTCAGCCTCCCAAGTGCTGGGATTACAGGCGTGCACCACCACGCCCAGCTTGATGCCAGGGCTCTTACAGGAAGGAGCCATCCCTTCTCGGCCTTTTGGCTAAGATCAAGTGTAGGAAGGAGCCAATATTCCTTTAGCAAAACTAGATTTAGGGAGCAATTGGAGCACAGCAAGTAGCTGAAGCCCTTGGGATGATTAGTTTAGATCACCTAGGCAGTGATGGTGAACCTTTTAGAAATGTCACTGATAACAAATAGCCCCCTGCGGCATGCATGCCATGTGGCATACGTTCACCACCACTGAGCTAGGATAAATGCTAAGTGTATCCGAATTTAGAGAAGACAGCTAAGGACAGAGCTTCAGAGGACATGTGTAAGGCCTGGGTATAAGAAGATAAACCCACGAGAGATACCAAGAAAGTCTGGTCTGTGAAGTAGACATCTCAGACAAGGTGAGAGGTCGAGAGAAGAGACCGTGCCGAGGAGAGTTGGTAGCTCTAGTTTCTGTGTTGCTGTCGAAGCACTGGCGTACAGGTTGAAGGAACCCTCCATGAGGCCGGCAGCCAGGAAACCCCGTGACCTCTGCCACAGCACTTTGCTGGTGCTGGCTGCAGCGGTGGGGATGGAACCCAGGTCCTGTGCATGCTGGGCAAGCGCTTGACCACTGAGCCACACCCCAGCCTTCTTCAGTTCTTTAAGGAAATGAAGTTTTCTTACAAGGTGACCACGGTATGGAGCTGAGCTGAAGGTTTAGGGTGGAAGTTGACGGGGTCCTGTAGAAGATTAAGCCCAGGAAAAGCTGGGTCTCGGCAGCGGTGGCCCAGTGTCTGTCAGAGTAACCCGAGGACCCCCTGTCCCCACACCCCCAGGGCACTGCTAACATGCACATTCCTAGGCCCTTGCTAGACCCAGGGAATGGGGACCTCAGGAGGCCCGGTTCACACCCCCAGAACCGGGAGGAATGGAAGCGACAGGCCGGCTGGGCGCGGGGCGACTCCCTCAGCGCTTTGATCGCCTCTGTGCCTCCGCGTCCAGGCCGAGCTGTGCGCAGCTGTGCGCCTCCTGCTCTCCTTCTCTCCTGTGTGGCCGCCTCCGGTTCCTTATACAGGGGAGAGTCTGGGGCCCAGGAGGGAAGACCGTGCTCACACGGTCACGGCTCCAAGCCACAGCCTGATGCCTGCGTGGCCTCTGAACTGTCACTGAAGCCCCACGTGCCTTAGTCCGGCCGTTTGTAGAATAAGGGTAAGGACAGGAGACCCACGTGATGGGGCATTGCAAGAATCCACTACTGGACACAGTGCTCCTTGAGTGAGCACGCGGAGTGGAAGCTGTTCCGCTTTCATGGCCAAAGGAGCCCTGAGCTTCCAGCGGGACTGAGCAGAGAAGGGCCTCAGTAGCTGCCTGGAAACCCCTGCCGTGTGTGAGGCTGCCCTGTGCTGTGACTCCCCTGGGAAGGCCTGGGGCATAGGCTTGTGTGGTTGTGCAGGTGACTGTGACCCACTAGGGGCCTGGGGACGGGTGGGAACAAGGGAGCTGTGCGTTCGGGTGTGAGACCTGCGCTTCCAGACAGCAGCACACAGCCCCGCAGGGAGGAGGCTCTGTCAGCAGCTGCGTGACGTTCAGGCCTCCTTCCCGGAGCCGCCTGCTGTTCCTTTGGAGAGACCACACTTCTCATGGCTTCCCTTGGCATTGTAGGGCTTATTCCCAGAAAGAGATTTCAAAGTGTGCCATGGAGGATTCTCGGACAGAGCTGTCCTGGAGCTAAAGCACGTGCCAGACACCAGGTATGGCCCATCCGTGGCCCCGCCTCACTCAGGTCGGCTCTCCTCCCTCCCTGCCCCTGCCGCAGCCCTCAGCACAGGACGTGTGTGAGTGCATGTAGGCACACACTCACGCACACGTGCACACACACAACGGGTCTAGAATGTAAAGAAAGCATCATCCCACCGCATTTTGATTAGAGTAACCAGCGCGTCACCAGAACTGTGGTAGGCTTGGATGCAAGCTAGAAGGGTGCACTCACTGTCTCCCCGGAGCTGATGGTGCATAGTGGGGTGAACCAGCCCAGTGAGGAGAGGCCGAGTCTCTGGGGTTGCCCTGTGACCATCATGACACAGGCGGCTCTCGTGAGCTGTGGCCCTGTCCCTTGGGCAGAGTGAGGCTGCCCTTCTGGTAAATGTGGGTAGCGGGTCTTGGTCCTGCCGTAGGATTTCTTGGGCTGGGGAGGAGAGGCTGGTGGGGTCCAGGGTGAGAACTAAGACGTTCTGTCCACTGAACAGGTTGCTGGTAACCAGTGGCCTTCCAGGTTGTTACCTGCGGGTGTGGCGGGTCGCTGAGGACAGTGGTGAGTGAACTTCACTTGGTCGGGGCAGAGGCCCTGGCCCAAGCCCAGGACCAGGGCAGAAGGGAAAGAGCGAGGTCCCGGGCTGTCCTGGGAAGAGCTGAACGGGTGGCACGGCACACTGCAGGCCCCTCTGTGGGCAGGGCAGGGCGGCACTCATTGCCTCTTGGGGAGGACAGGCTGGCCCTAGGAAGGAGTGTGAGCCAGAGGCCACCTCACACCAAGAAGTCACTGCTTCCTCACAGCGGGTGGAGGGAGGAGCAGGAAGCACTGTCTCTCCCAGGAGTGAGGGTCCCGTCCCAATCCCTGGCAGGCAGGCAGGCCCCAGCACTCTGGCCTGACCGCCCCTCTGCCCTGTGCCCCTTTTTCATGACTGCTGTGATTTTGAGACAGAGGCTTCACTAAGTTGCTGAATTGCCCAGTTAGACTTGAACTGGGATCCTCCTGCCTCAGCCCCCAGAGTGCTAGGGTTACACATGTGCACCCCTACACCTGATGCTAGGAAGGCAGTTCTTTTTTTTTGGTACCGGGACTCGAACTCATGACCTCAGGCTTGCCAGGCAAGTGCTTATGCCACTGAGCTAAATCCCCGGCCCATAGAAAGGCAGTTCTTGTGTGCACCTGTTCTCTGAGATTGCTGACCCCAGGCGTTTCCCTTATGTTTGCCTTGTCCTTTGTCCTGTGCTGCAAGTTATTCCTGTCACTTGTAGTTGTGGTGATGTATTTTCTTAATTAGTTTTATTGCGAGACTGTGTTTTGCATATCATATAATTCTTCCATTTCACGTATACAGTTCAGTGATTTTATTTTAGTGCATTTATCGAGTTTTGCAGCTGTCTCTATAAATCAGTCTTGGAACATTTCTGTCACCTGTTTATTTTTGTTCTCTAGTCTCAGGCAACCACTAACCTACTCTCCTGGAAAGGTGGGCCTCGGCCATTGCGTGTCAGTGGAACTGGACGTGTGGTCTCTCGCGTGCAGCTTCTTTGCCTTAGCGTGCTGCTTTTGCAGTCCACCCGCGTCCTGGCATGTATCAGTCTCCTGTTCCTTTTTATGACTGAATACTGTTCTGTTGCGTGGCAGCAGGAGCACATTTTCTCTGTCCATTCTCACAGTGCGAGAGCAGTGTTTGGCCATCATCAGTAATGCTGCTGAGAACGTGAATGTCTGAATCTTTGTGTCACATATGTTTTCATGTCTCAAAAAAATAAAATAAAAGTGCTGGGGATCAAACTGAGGACTTCATGTATTCTAGGCAAGCGCTCATCCCCAACCCTGTCTTCTTTATTAAAGCCATTCTCTGGGTGTGACATTGTATGTCCTTGTGGTTTCCATTTGCCTTTCCCTAAAGATTAGTAATATTGAGCGCCTTTTCCTGTGTTTATCAGCCATTCATCTATTTGGTGAAATGCCTATTTAAGTCATTCACTCTTTTCTGTTTTGGGTTTTTTGTTTGTTTGTTTTCAGGGTTTTTTTTGTTTGTTTGTTTGTTTTTTGAGACAGGGGCTCCCTGTATAGTTCAGGGTGGCCTTGACCTCACTTTGTAGCCCAGGCTAGTCTCGAACTTGAAACAGTCCTCCTGCCTCAGCCTCCCAAGTGCTAGGATTACAGGCTTGTGCCACCACGCCTGACCTGTTTGGTTTTTTTTTTTCAGGAGGGGCAGTCAAACTCAGGACCTTGCACTTGCCAGACAAGTGCTTGTGCCACTGAGC